CTGGGCACAGTTTGACTGGATAGGTGGAGAGAGCTTTTCATATTCTATTCAGTTTACTTCTGAATTGTTTGACTCTTTCCTAATGCGAAAGCACTCATGTATTAGATGTTATACAAAATTATGAAAAATAATGTAAAAGTACCTAAGATATTCCATATAGCCAATAAATGCAAGAAATAAAAGACATTATTTATCCCAATATTGATTCACAGGTCATTCTTTATTTTTATTAGGATTAAAAAAGATGCTGTAGTAAGTCAGATACCACCCGAGAGCTTCACTTACAGAAACGCTCTATTGGGTGAAAGGATCACCACATCTCTCCCTCCGGACCTGCCTTTCATGGGCATTTAGTGCTTGTTCAGCATCGTTCCACATGAATCATTCATGCACATCACTGAATTATTCCTTGTGCGGTCTGACTCTCCTGCCCAGCGCACTCCTAATGCCATCAGCCAGGCTGTCCTTCAATCCGAGCTGTCCAACTGGGCATCTCGGGGTGCATTCAGGGCACCACGCCCTTGATGGCTCTGGGTACAGAGGGGCTAATAAAGTGCCACTGGGAAGGAGAAAGACCTCCTCCTCTTGTCGGGAACCAACAAGGCTTTCATTGAACCAGAAGTTTCAAGCTGATGGTCTGAAAGCCAAATCTGGCCATTTTCTATCTTTGGTCCACAGAAAATTGTGAATTTTTTACCAACATTAAAAAAAAAGGCGGAGAAATTGAACACAAAGGAACCCAGATACCTGGCTTCTCTTAAAACCAGAAAGCCTCGTACCACGGTGCCCGTCTCCCCACGACGACAGTCAGCCGAGCTGTGTCAGAACTCTTCCCGGCGGCCCCGGCACTCGACGCCAGGGCTGTGCTTGTCATCCCGCCGGCCTTGCTCGTGTCACTGAAAATATCCATTTTAATTGGCACCGGGTGCCAGTGATCCCAATATTTCAGGATCCAAACTCCATTTCTCAAACTGATTCTTCTACCCCAAGCAGCAAAAAAATTATTTGTCAGGTTATGTTTCCTGATTCACAGTTTGGAAAATACTGTCACTGTAATTATAACTCAGCGATGTGATGACTGAACTCAGCTTGTGTGGGCTGCCCAGGGTGCCGAATCAACATCTACACCACACCTCACTCATTGATCCACTCAATTATTCAATCCGCTTGCTTAACAAAGATTTATTTGCACACTAACTCTATGCCAAGCACTTTCCCAAGGACCAGAGACAGAGCAGGCAAAGAGACAGCACACATCTCTGCCAATATGAAGCTTAGATCTAGGGTAGAGAGAGGCTATTTCAAACCCCACATATGTAACTTATTAATGAGCTACCAGAGTCCTTGGATGAGTGGGGACTGAATATTCTACTCCTATGGATTTTGTAATCAGAAATAGGGTTGCCTATAAACTCAACCTAGGATTTACAATTTCAGAGCTGACAAGCACAGGAAATACCTAATCTGCCCCTTTTTGTCAAAGGGGAGGCAATGGGGCCTCTGAGAGTGACTCACAGAGTTTACGGAAAAGCTCCAGGCTTTCGAGACTTAGGCACCTGTTCTTTTTACTCCCTAAAACGGGAGTGACAAGCTCCAACATCTTCAGAAGATGTAAACCAGCAATGTGAGCCTCAGAGTCACCAACAGAGAGTGGTAAGGAACAGAGCAAACAGGAGGGAGCATGCTCAGAGTAAGTTTTTGATTCAAAATAAAACAGCAATAATCATGACCACAGCACAACACCAGGCCAGTCAACGATACACATTGTGAGTTGCAGCCTGGTCCTTGCAGGCACGGGTCTGGGCCCTCCCCATTTGGCCACACTCTCTTCCACTCATCACTATGTTTCTATCCTTATCTTGAATTTGAGCATAAATTTTTTCAAGTCATAACTAGTAAGAATCCTCTCCTACAGGCCCGTTTTCTCCGGATTATTTTTTTTCTCAAGTTGAAATATATTTTTAATGTGACCAAAGTGAAAAAAAATATGAAGGGTTCATATTCATTTCCTTGATTTAATAATGTCTTCATATAATAACACAAAATTAATTTTCTATTTATCTAAAATTAACATCTTTAAATAGTCAAAACCTAAATAAAATAATTTTCCATGAAAATATTTTTAAAAGATAGTAAGACTTCCTTGCTTTCTTAAGAGTATGTTGCATATAATTTAGTCTTTTCTTGACACTAATAGTCAATATCTGGATAGAAATTGATCTGTACCACAGGAGATGCTGTCTAGAACTATTATGTTTTTGTATCTTTCATTTTCTATTCTTTTAAGTGCCATCTCCCACCCAAGTTTCCAGAGGCCAGGATATGAATCTAAAGACAAGGGCAGAACCTCTCCCATCCCCTCCTGGCTTTTGTAAACCTCAGTGGATTTTTGTTGTTTTATTTTGTTTTTTTACTTTATTTTTACCTTGATTGTATGATGTAGATGAGATTTTAACTTTGAATTTTTAAATCTCTTGTCTAGTCCCAAATCCAAGCCACAACGTCCAAATTATCTCCAAAACTGCTTCCATTTGAACTGGACTCGACTCATGAGGCCTCTGGTTCAGAATCACCGGGAGTTCTTTGGTTAAAAGCACAAATTCTGGTAGCTTAAACATTAGACCTAAAATATGCCTTTTAAACCAATGCCCTTAGTGATTCCTGTGCATCTGAAGCCTTGAGATCCACAGCCCTATCTTCTCCTTGAACTGCTGCAAATATTGCTACAAATTATCGTCACGTGGGGTGCTTCACGCAAGGTACAATGCCTGAGCCACAGCCAGGCTGAGAACCAGGACCTCTGGTGGTAGGACCTGGGCATCTGGGCTTGTTTCATTTATTTTTTACTTTAGTACTTTTTATTTTGAGCTGGCTGTGTATTTCACGCACCATTTGTAAGAACAATACACGCAGATCTCATGTACGCTGCAGCCAGGTTCCCCGTGGTAACATCCGCGTGACCACAGCACAACAGCACAATCAGGAAACCGGCACGCATACCACCCTGCTCAGCTTTTCCAAACGAGCTCTCCTTTCTGACTTTCCTCTGTGCCTTCCTTTGCTGATGCTTAGCTCTAATGAAGCTTTAAAAAAAGTTTTTATTTTGAAAAAATTTAAAATAGACAATTGATCAGAATAGTATAATACCCCAAACCCCTTCACCTACAGTCACCAAATGTTAGCATTTGGCCCCATTTCTCCCTTTCTCCCTTCTCCCTTTCCTCCTCCTCAATAGGTAAGCCTGTTCTTTACTCTGGCCCACTTATGCACTAGTGACCGCTCACGCCTGCGCGCTCCGGCATGTGTCTTCTGAGAACAAGAGCCTTCTCTATATAACCAGAATAGAATTACCGAATATGGGAGACTGGACATCACTATATTATTTACAACATAATGCAGCTAATTTTCAATTTCTCTGAATTTCCCAAAACTGTCCTTAAATTTATAGCAATTCTCCTCCCAGGACTCCGCATAGCGTAACTGCGACGTCTCTGTACCCCCCTTTCGTCCAGAGCAGCCTTCCTGTCTCTCCTGCCACCGATATATTGGAAGACTCCAGGCCAGTTTTCTGTGGATTGTCCCTCAATCTGGGCTTATCTGGTTGTTTCCTCATTGAATTTCATTTTTGAAAAACATTTTCATCAACATTCCCAGCAATGAGGTCACAGGGGAGAGACTTGGCAGAGGAGAGTCTCCTCAATCGTGGTTTAACACGGTTAAGCATAACTGATGGATGGCCCCCTCCGAACACCTTGCTCCCAGGCAGAATATCAATACTATTTACCACAGATCGTGCCCCTGTGGAGAGCTGGGCATTTTCAGAAACAAAACCAGGTCAATGCCTTTCCCAGCTTGTAATCCCGAGGAACAGGAGTCCCGGGCTCTGGGTTTCCAGTCTGGGCTTCTCTGAGGCCTGGGCGAGCAACATCATTTCTCTACTCCTCAGTTCCCTCAACTATAAAATAGAATGAAAATACCTAGTACTTAACTCACAGGGTGATGCAGTGATGGATGGTATACACTCAACACAGTGCTCGGCACTTAGTAAGTGCTCATTTAATGCGAGCCTTTACTGTGATTATTTATTTATTTAGGTTAATCCTCGCCTGAGGATATTTTTCCCATTGATTTTTTTTTTAAGAGAGAGTGAAAGGGAGGAAGGGAAGTGGAGAGGGGGCAGAGACAGAGAGAGACAGAGAGAGAGAGAAAGATCGATGTGAGAGACACACATAAATTGGCTGCCTCCCACACGTGCCCAGGCCGGGAACTGGGGATTGAACCTGAAACCCAGGTGAGTGCCCTTGAGAGGGAATGGAACCCATGACCCTTTGGTCCTTAGGCCAATGCTCTAACCACTGAGCACACTGGCCAGGGTACTTTTTTTTTTTAAGAACATCATTATTTCTCTTAGAAATATTTTTTCTGATATATCTCCTCAGGCAAGGACAACAAAAGAAAAATAAACAAATGAGGCTACATCATTTGTAGAAGGGGGATTGAGAGACTGGATGAAAAAGTTAAGAAGTATAAATTGGTAGTTACAAAATAATCACAGGGATATAACCTACAGCATAGGGAATATAGTCAATAACGTTGCAATAACTATGTATGGTGCCAAGTGGGTGCTGGAAATACCAGCGGGGACACTTTGTAAAGTATATGATTGTCTAACCACTATGCTGTACATCTGAAACTAATGCAAAATAATATTGACTATAAGCTGTAATTGAAAAAGAAAATTTTTAAAAATAAATCTATACTTTATATGAAAGCAAAAAAATAAATAAATAAAAATGCCATTAAGCCAAATCTCTCGTGTATTATTTTAAATTTTCTGGTGTGTTGGCCAGAGTTTTTTTGTTAAAGCCAAATCCTGTTGCTATCTGTAGTTTTCCCAAGTATAAAAAAGAATCTCTCGTGGAGCCCACCCTCTGGCCCAGCTGCTGGGCTACGGAAAAGACCCTGGCCTTCACGGTTAGGATGCAGGAAAGCCGTCTTACCATTACATCCTGGATAGTTAAGAGGATCCTTGCTTTGTCCGTACTACTTGGAAGGTCGGAATGTCCATGAGCGTTCTGAAGGGAGAAGAAGTTAACATCACAGGGTGTGGTGCCGGTCGGAGGTTTGGAATCCTAGGGACAAGCAGAGAGAACTAGGTATGGTAATAGCAACTTGTGTCCCTAAAGACATGCGGGGCCTTCATTCTCTCTATTGGCCTCCATGCCTCCATCTCTCTCCTCACTAAGCCATTCTCTGCTCTCACTCCCTCAGCTGATCTGATCAAACTCACCCCTGCTCTACCAGCACCACTGGGGAACAAGCCATTGGGACCAGGATTCAAACTCGGGCCACCAACTTCCCAAAACGGTGCCCTGAGCTGCGTGGGGACCAGCACAGAAAGATAGCCACACGCGTTGAGTAAAAACGGCGGGATTATCAAATAGTATGAAAGGTATAATCCTATTTATGTAAAAACAATAAAAAGCAAAGGGGAAAAAAGGCACTCACTCAAAGGTTAATTACATGGTAATGTGAAACAGAAGTACCCAAACAATGGAACTGCCCTAAAAATGCTCCCTCATGTTTTCAAGTCTCACCATTGAAATTAATGTGGACTGAAGGGACCGCCCGGGAGCCCTGCTGGGGACAAGGCGGATGGGCTGCTTCACTGGGGATGCTTGGTCAACAACTGCCTAAGTCCACCTTCTAGCAACTGGTGGGTGAGCCGCCATGGGCCACGCAGTCTACGTCAGGGGCCGTGGCAGACCTGCTGGTGGCACATGGGTTGTGACAGGTCTTTAAGTTGTCTATATGTATCAGTAAGTAACGACTTTAAAACACTAAATTGCAACTGTGGACAAATATCCAATTCACCCCACTCGAGGATCAAGGATCCGGGGATCAAGGATCCGGAAAAACTCAGAGAAGGATTCCAGAAGATGCATGCCTTCCTGTCCCCTGTCCTGCTCTCAGGGCCTGAGAACTAATCTTGGGGAACTGCACTCAGTGGGAATGGGCCAGAACCGGCACATTCCAGAAACAGCCTCCTCTTGGATAGAATGACATGTGCAGTTTTTAGTCTGCATGGCTGCACAGTAATGATCTCTGGGCAGTGAGATTATGAAAGAACTTTTATTTTCTTTAAACATTGAATTTTTTATATTGATTATGCATTATCAGGGAAAAAATATCTCAATAATAAAAATATATATACATTTAGCTTCATTCCTGTTACTTAAATGGAGCCAACATCATTTAAATGGAGCCTTATCATCCACTGCAACATGACTAAGACCTGCCACTTTGGTGGAACTCTCTAGAGCAGTGGTTCTCAACCTTCTGGCCCTTTAAATACAGTTCCTCATGTTGTGACCCAACCATAAAATTATTTTCGTTGCTACTTCATAACTGTAATGTTTCTACTGTTATGAATCGTAATGTAAATATCTGATATGCAGAATGGTCTTAGGCGACCCCTGTGAAAGGATCGTTCAACCGCCAAAGGGGTCACGACCCAAAGGTTGAGAACCGCTGCTCTAGAGAGAGGGCCCTCCTTTCACAGGAGTTGCTAAACTGCAAACAGAACTCCCCCACCCCCGACTCAGAGTAGAACCCCTCGTCCTCACTCACCGCAGCTCCCAAAGTCCTATGTGGTCTGAGCCTTGGCTACCTCTCAGTCCTCACCTCCCCCCACACCAACCCCTTGGTCACTGAGCTCCTGCCACACTGGCCCCTGGCTCAGAGCCTCCACACCTGCTGCTCTGTGCCCGGAGTGCTCTTCTCCAAATGGCTCACTCCCTGGCTTCCACCAGGCCTCTGCTCACATGTGACCTCATCAAGACGAAGCCTCTGCCCAGCACATCAAGTGGCAGCCCCTGCCCAGCTTTCCCCTGATAAGCGCCATCACGTCAGCTCCTGGCATGTGATATACTTGCTGATTGTTTTACCCTCGATGCCAGGCCCTGTGGTGAGGACTGTGCACCTGGGAGCACAGCCCCGTCTAAAGGGGATTGGTGCACCTCAGCCCAGTCATTGCTGGTGCGTAAGAATGTGGCTCCCACATCTTCCGATTGTTCAAGAGAAGCCCCAGCTTCAGATTTTGACAAGGAATTTCCTGATTCTTAAATGTCAGCTAGTAATTCACACCTTAGAAAGCACCAGGCAAGTCAACGGGGTGGCGGCCAACAGGGCATGTCTGCCGCACGCCGGCTGTGAACTCAGAGCCGCCAGAAACTGAAGTTCAGGGGGATGTGCTGGGAGGTGAACGGCTGGTGTGTCTCAGCAGTGAGGTCAGGTGAAAAGCACACGCAGACGTGCGTTTCCTTTGCGCCATTTCGGGCTGCACTGCGCACAGGGTGAGGTGGCCGAGTCATCCAGACACATGCTTTTTTTTTCTTTCCCTGTTCAGATTGCAGCTCTTATGGCTTCTGCCTTTGCCGAAAACTGGCGCTGCCATTTTACTCTGACTTAGCAGGAGAGTAACTCCTGACTGTGAAGCCTACGGAGTGCCCCTCACGGGGGGAGGAAAGGAAAGAAAGATGCAATCAAGCACTCAGAGCGGAGAAAATTCAGGGCTGGCGGAGCAGGGCACTGCCGATTCCGAGCACGCGCACACGGGAATGCTAATGGGCTTAATCGCTTGTGAGGGACAGGCTGCCGTGTTTCAGGGAGCTTGGGAGCTTGCAAAGGAAGGAATACATGTTCTTGTAACAGGAGGAACCAAATGGTCAAAGGAAAAGAGGGAACTACCATGCCTCTTGCTCGAAGGGCATGTACGCATTCTGTGACATGTGCTGGGGCTGGGGCTGGGGCTGGGACTGTAACAGACGAACTTGGCTATAAACCAGCCGGTCGATGCAAAAGCAAGTGAGTGAGTGCTTGTGGGGTGTGTGTGTGTGTGTGTGTGTGTGTGTTTGTGTGTGTGTGTGTGTGTGTTGTGGGAGACCCGTGTTAAAGGCAATAAAGTCCACAATTTTGCTCACTGTAAAATTCCACTCTATGGCTGGGGTAGAGAAACGAGGTCGTTGGTCATTTGGTAGAAAAGGACTCTTTTCCAGGAAGGAAGGAATAGTAACAGAAAGTGTCCCGACAGCTGCTGAAGCGCTGAGCCCAGGGCACGCCTACCTGTGGGCGACCCCCAGAAGCATCCTTTGCAGTAACAGTCGTGTCCCCATGTGGCTCAAAATCTTCAGAATAGTCCAGAGGAGGTTCGATATGGAGCCGCGAACCAGCTTCTGTTCTGATCTGCACAGATTTCTACACACAAAAATTCAGACCATTTCAGGTAAGGTAGAACAGACACCTGGATGCCCCTGGGCGAGCACGTGGGGCTGGCTGCAGGGTGTCTGTGCACAGCTGCCTGTGGCCCTGCACGCTGGCCCAGCAGCATCCCCGGGCCACCCAGACGGCTAAACCCCAGGCCAGCCCAGACGGCTAAACCCCAGGCCAGCCCAGACGGCTAAACCCCAGGCCAGCCCAGACGGCTAAACCCCGGGCCACCCAGATGGCTAAACCCCGGGCCAGCCCAGATGGCTGAACCCCAGGCCAGCCCAGACAGCTAAAGCCCCCTCTGCTCAAAAGTCTTCACTAGTTCAGAATTTTTTAGTAACTTTTTAGCTTAAAATAACTTATCCATAGAATTTTGGATGTTAAACTTCTCAATAGCTTTGTGATCAAAAGTTTAGGAAACCTTGGGCATTTTTCTTCAAGACTTCTCAGGGCCTTCAATGTGCCCCCTCCCCCACCCGCCACACACACTTGTGGAAATCCTAAAATAATCACAGCGAGCAACGTTTCTCACACGTTCTGGGCCATGGAAACTGTGTGGTGGGCCTCTCTTCCTCCCGGCATTCCTTGGGTCGTTCTCTGGGAAGCCCACTCGGTGGTCTGATGTGGCAGACTGCAGCTGTCCCCCAGTGCCCACGTCCCCTCCTCCCCTGCAGCTGGGGAGCTGTGTGAACACGTACATCCTGGCCAGTGCAGGGGGTGGGGGAGGGGTGTGTGCATCTGAGTGGTGCCCCTGAAGGGAGGGCACAGCATCCCTTGCCCAGCTGAAACATGGAGGTGGTGGTGAGAGCCGAATACTGAGAGAGGAAACAACATCGGGAGGACGGTGGAGCAACAAAATAGCTCATGCCTGGGTTCCTCCGTGACCTCTCGGGGCAGGTGGCTGCACCGCTGACCTGTCCTGTCAGAGCGACATCAACCCTGGGCCTCTCTGTTTTAGCAGCCAAACCTGTACCTAAGCCATGCACCTGGCACGCAAAGCTCTCTACAGCCGCCCCAGTCTCTTTCCTGCCCTGATTCCAGCGCATAGAGTCACGCCCCTGACAACTGGGCCACACAGAACTGCTGGTTTTTCAGTCCAGCATCTCCCTGTTCTCCTTTCAGGTCCACCCCCCTTGCCCCTAGTCCACCCAAGGCCCAAGGGCAGAGGTGGGACTCGGGCCTGATCAGGCAGCCCATTCTGCCCCACCACACGCCCTGGCCCCTGGCTCAGGGGTGGGAATGGACCTAAGGCAGCCAATGAGTAGTTCGGAGTGCTGCTAGAGCTGGGGGAGCAGGTGCCCCCTTCCCCGGTGCTAAGCTAAAGGGAGGAAGACACAAGCTGCTGGGACATCCTGCCCCTAATGCAGAGACAGAGAGCGGAGAGAATGAAGCAGAGTCCTGATGGGTTTATTCAGACCCGAGTCAAGCGAAGACACTGCTTTCACCCCCCACCCCCACCCCCCAATGCTGACATGGAGCAGGCAGTGCGGGACTAGATGGGCAGGGCCAGGTGTAAGCGAAGCACCCAGGGATCGACAGCTAAGGAGGTGCTCCCTCTCAGGTGCCCTGCACGCACACAAACCCAAGAGGGAGGGTCCCCTTAAACTTCAGCCCTGGGCCTCACCCTGGTGCGGTGCTGGTGCTGAGAGAAGGGACAGGTCCGCGGAGCGGAGGGAGAGTGACTTAGACCATGCATTCCCTCACCCGCAGCGTCAGAACCGTTCACGCGGTAAGATTCAGCTCCCCCACAAGCTTAGTGAACCAGCTATCAGCCGGACGAAGCAGGACCTGAGGCCGGAGCCTGGGTGGCCTGCGGGCCGGCAGCGGTTAGGACAGGACTCCCATCTCATCCACGCCCACTGCCCTCCCCCATCAGTGCTCTAGCACTAGTGCACTTCACCAGTGCAAACCGTCGCCATGCCAAGTGCGTGGGTGCGTTTACTTGCTCCTTTAGTCCTCACGGTAACCCAGGGGAAAACCCAGGCACAGGTCTATAAGCCACCTGCCCGAGGTCACACAGCTGGGGGACCACAGAGCCTAGATTTGAACCTGAGCAGTTCGGCTCCAGAGACCGGTGCTGAGCAATGTTTCCTTTCGAAAGTAAAGGTCTTAGGCTCTGACAGCCATATGGTCTCTGTCACAGTACTCAACTCTCCCATCACAGCTCGAAAGCCGCCGCGGATGATGCCTCACCAATGGGCATGGCTGCGGCTCAGACATTTTATTTGCAAAAACAGGCTGTGGCCAGATCTGGCTCAAGAGCTGGTGTTTGCTGACCGACCCCAGCGCCAAACCGCCACGCTATACACTAGTTCCTCCTTATCACCGGGGAGACGTTCCAATCCCCGGCGATGCCTGAAACTACAGAGAGCACTGAGCAGCTGTGTGCTTTGTTATTCTGTGCATACACACCTATGATGAAGTTTCATTTATAAATTAGGAACAGTAAGGGTTTAACAATGACTTGTAATAAAATAGAACAATTATGACAATAGACTGTAATAAAAGTTATGGGAATTATGGAGTAAAGTGAGGGTCACTGCACAAGCACTGTGGTACCTCCACAGTGGATCCGATCACTGAGATGCCTCGTGACTAAGAGGCAGCCGGTCACAGCACGAGGTGCCGGACAAAAGGATGATTCACGTCCGGAGAAGATGGAGCCAGACAGCATGAGATTTCATCTTGCTACTCAGAGCACTGCACGGTCTAAAGTTAGGAACTGTTTATTTCTAGAATCTTATATTTAATCTTTTCGGACCCCAGTTGACCACGCAGGGGCACGGAGAATAAACATGCCCAGCCTGTGCTTTACAGTGGCCTTTGGAGAACAGAGGGAAATTAAAGAATTCCCTGAGACTCCAACACTCAGAAGAGGAAACAGGGACTGAGCTATCGATCATTAAAGCAGTGGTCGGCAAACTGCGGCTCGAGAGCCACATGCGGCTCTTTGGCCCCTTGAGTGTGGCTCTTCCACAAAATACCACGTGTGGGCGCACAAAATATCACGTGCGGGCGCGCATGTACAGTGCGATTGAAACTTCGTGGCCCATGCGCAGAAGTCGGTATTTTGTGGAAGAGCCACACTCAAGGGGCCAAAGAGCCGCATGTGGCTCGTGAGCCACAGTTTGCCAACCACTGATTAAAGGAAAAGATCTTAGCGAGAATACAGGGCCTGAAGAAGGCAGGCGGTGCCACCCTGCCCGAGAACAGGGAGGTGGGAGGCGCGGAGAGGTGGCCATGGACACTGTGCTCCCACAGGAGGTCCCGTCACTTGGCGATGCACCAGCTGTCTCTGGAACCCTGCTCTCCACTCTGCCTGCAGCCTCACTGTTTTGGGCTCAGGCTCCAAGTGTGGCCTCGCTGCCCCCTGGGCTTTACAAACTCACTCTCAGAGCATTTCCTAGAGGCAGCAGCAGGGCCCTTGGAGGTGAGCACTCCGCGGGATAGGTAAGCCTGGGCTTTCCTGCCTAGGGCCAGGATGAAGCTGTAAAAGCCTTGAATTTCATTACAGAGATGGATTTTCCATGACACCTTCAAAGAGAGGGTGCTCCTCCCTCCTCCCCAGGAACCACTCAATAACTGTCCAAATGCTGAACCCGTGCAAGAGAGGAGGAGGAAGGGGAGGGGCGCATGTGGGAAGCCTACTGGGCACGGGGCCCATCCAGAGGCACAGCCAGGCCCCGCCCTGGGTTGCTGCTCCTTTACCTAGAGAGGGAGGGCTTGGACCAGGGCCTTGCTCCTCCACGTGCCAGTACCGGCCTCCCCTGGGGATCTGAGAAATGTTGAATTTCAGGCCCCATCTCAGAGCTGGGAACAGAATCTCATTCTGACCAGACCCCAGGTGATTATGCGCACACGGAAGTTTCAGTAGCGGGAGGTTGAAGAGGCTTTGTGGTGGCGCTGCTGTTTCCGCCTGTCCAGCGTGTCCCTGGTCTTCTGGTGAAAGTACCCTGGTTTCCTTTTGGTAAATCCTCCCCTCCCCTCCCAGACCCCAGTTCAAGTGTTCCCATGGAACAGAGACCAGGGATGGGGGGAGCAAGTGACCCAGGCCTGGCCCATCTGAGCATTAGATCCCGCTGGCCCACAGTGACTGGGTGATTGGTTCAGGGGAATAGCAGGGTGACAGTGTGAGTGGGGAACTGCTGGCGACCATCTTGGTACCACACAGGGCAACAGGGGAGAAGCAGAGTTGAAAGATGGAGAAGAGCCCTGCTCCACTGTCTGAGCACCTGGATCCAGCCATGCCTGAATGGGGTTCCCACTGGCAAGTAAGAGAGCTGGAATTCATGCAGGTCTGCTGGTCTCACCTGAATTATAAATGTGAGAGAGACCTTCCACATTCTAGGAGAAGCATTCATGTGCCCTTCTCTCTTCTGCAGCTCTCTCCTCCCTCTTTCCCCAGAAGTACCCCTCTCCCTTCCCAGGAGCTTGGCACAACTGCTCGCCCGCCAAGATGTGAGGAGACAGGTTTGCAGGAGGCATTAAGGCACTTAACCAGCAAGTCCTTACTGAGTACTGTCTGCATACATGTCAAGATACAAAAAATTTCAAAACCAATGCCCTGGCCCGAGGAGTCATACAGAACACATAACAGGAGGTGTTTATGAAGCAACATGTGACAAAACTAAATGCTGAGTGGGTACCAGAGAGGGGAATAAATAGTCCCTCCATCTGGCTGGCGCTCCCACCTCAGCCCCAGGAGGCACCTCTGCCACCCCTGGGAGGTGGAGAGCGGCTCTGCCCACATGACGGGCCCACCTCCCCATAAAGAGTGCAAGGCTGGCAGGTTCCAGCCCCAGGCACGCCAGCTCCCTGCCTCCCACCTTCACGCCTCCCAAGGATGATGCCTGGCTGGCTCCCTGCCTCGTACACTGCTTTACCCCCAGTGGGCGTTGCTAAGCAGCTGCTCTCTCCTGCCCACTTGCAGGGCTCAGACTTGGGTAGAGCTTTGCAAGCAATCATAGACCAGGACAGAATTTAAAAGC